ATGCTGTGTCATCTGGTGGCACATAGTCCTTGTGACCCAGAAAATGTTTGTAGGCTTCCTACCAGTGATCTAATAGCGTGAGCTAGAAAAAGATAAGAGATGAGGAGTTAAGACTCATATGAAGAAGATTAAACAGGAGAACCTCTGATTGGGTTAATATCTCATAAAATAGGGCTTACAAAAGCTGGTGTTGTTCTCACTGGGCAAAAAACTCAAAAGAAATGCTGGCTCATCTTCAACCTGCTCTACTTGCTAATGCCACGGAGCCTGAGGCCAGTGTCAGCCGGTGTGTCCCGGTTACTAACTCGGAACACCCACATTCTGGAAGCTGCCTGTTCTTTCCCACAAACAGTTTATCTGGGGATTATCTTTTCTGCAAGCCCATTAAGTCTAGGTCCCACGAAAGTATCAGAATTCAAGAAGGTTTAGACAGCTCCGCACTCAGGACTGATCTAAAACCAGCTTGAGTAAAATTCCTCCGAGGGAGTTCTTCCTGCCAAGAATACTTCCACAGCCTCTACCTCTGCCACCCCAATATTAAGGTATAGTGAACAACTCTGAAAGAGTAAAGTCATGCTTCCAAACATTCCTTAAGAACCAGCAGTAGCAATCAAAATTAATTTACCTACCCTTTTCAAGTTGAAGCAACTAATACTGAGCACCAGCTCTTCACTTCTTTTATGTTTTCAGCGTGCACATCACAGTGGGATCCCACCTGCATGTGTCTGGTTTCCTTCTAGTACTATTAACTAGTACTATTAACTAGTACTTTGCATATCTCAGGGCTTCTCTCATAAAGTTTCCATTCAGAGGAACTCACAAGAACGTGGAACAGGACTGTGTAAAGTGGTGTGGGTGAGGTGGGTACCTAACCAGCAGATGCTCACGGCTCCTGGGACGACAGGTTCTAGAAGCATCCCTCATCACACCAGTAACGGCATGTATTACATCCTGAATGAGAGACACTTGCCCAGCGCACAGAGTTCACACAGTGACAGAGAAGAACGGGGGGAGGCAGCACGGGGCCTGGACTCAGCAGAAAGAGCTAACGGCATGTATTACGTCCTGAATGAGAGACATTTGCCCAGCGCACAGAGTTCACACAGTGACAGAGAAGAACGGGGGGAGGCAGCATGGGGCCTGGACTCAGCAGGAAGAGCTAAAAGGGTTGGAGGTAGAGCTTTCTGAACTGCTGTGGTGCCTCCAAGTTTCTAAATGTGTCGTTACGTTGGGGTTGCCACGGGAGCATTAGAATGCAGCAGCACCTGCTTGGCGTGGATTGTAAAGATGCTGGCTGGATAACCCAGAAAGCAAGAAGGAGGTGAGGAAATAGACAATGAAACAAAAGTCCCTACATTACGTTTTGGGGCAATTCTTCCAACTTCAGAAGATCCTAAGGCAATTTTTTTGGATGCCATCATTGACATAAAATGTTTATCAGTAGTACAAATTACTTCTAGAAAATTCCAGGTTATGAGCAGTCATCCAACAAATATCGACTGTGTGCCCAAAGCACATGCCAAGTGAATGAGACACTGGCTCCATTTTCAAAAATCTTAATCTCGTGAGAGGAAGAATATCCTGACACCCCCAAGCTATAGCACAAAGAAGAATGTGCAAAGACATAGTTTTTAAAATAGTAAGTGTCCGACGAAGAGGGTGGGGTTGTAGGAAATGAGGATCCGAGAGGCTGGCAGTAAGCACAGCCCAGGTTCACAAAGGAGATGCTGGTGTTGCACTGACCATAAAGTCAGGACAGATTGATTACAGAAGAATCAGCATGAACAAAATGTAAAGAATGATGGTGATACGGGGTGGGGGGTGGTCAAAACATTGGGAAATAGTCTTATTGGGATAGAAAGGAGCAGGTTAGTAAAATGAAGTTTGGACAAAGGATAGTGCTAGTCTAGGCTCCATTGGTGGTTTTTTAAACTAGTGGTATCTGGGACCAGAAGTAGTGATCCGGTTGCTCTGTGAATGAACTAGGAAGTGGATGTGAAGGTAGGGGTGTGGGGAGGAGGTTGCAGCAGGGAGCCAAGACAAAACAGCAGTGTCCCAGGCAGCAGACCCAAGCTTTGGTGCTGCATCTGGCTGCTGGGGGCTTTGGGCCAAGGGTTTAACGAATCTAGGCCTTGGCTTCTCCGAATATAAGATGAAAGTTTCATCTCAGCTTTTTGTCAACTCAGAGAAGAAAGTCCTATAATATGGATGTTGTCCAAAGCTGAAGCGATGGTGATCAGGCCTGAAAAAAAAGAAAAAAAGCAGCCCATGCACGTGCCAAGGAGAGTAGGGTTTATCAAAGCCTTATGGTTAGCTCTGAGTGGTGGAGTTATTAGTAGCATTTGTTTTCATTCCGCTTCCTTTCATTTTCTGTTCTTTTCTATGCATGCTACATGTGTAATAAAAATGTACAGTTTGTTTAAAAACTACGCCCTCCCACCATTACCACCATGCTCACTCTCACATACACACACATATATAAAACAAAAGTATTGGAATTCAGTTTTTAAAACAGCTCCAGCTACATGCTCACTCTGGGGGAAAGAACATGAGTAGTGTTTCATTACATGTTAACTTACCAATTATTCCAGAAGATGACTATGTCTGAGGAGGGTTACTATTCCTGTTCTAATTCACACTTCTCACACCCTTGAGAGACAGGACCTCCCAGGATTAAGTTACTGTGGCAGTTTGGTTTGGGTGTTGTTTAAAACACATTATTTTATGACTAAGGCTTAGCTTCCCCACAGACAACGTGAAAATATACTCTCACGTCACAGATGAAAAGCAAGAATCTTATCCACAAACATGGAGGAGGAAAGTCTCCAAAACCATGAATGGGGAAATTACATCACTTTAATATCATAAATGATGTTTCATAAAAATATTAACAGAACAGATCAAATTGAGATGACCAGGGCATGACAGACACAGGCTACCGGAGTAGCACATGCCGAGAGAATGAAAAAGTTATCTCAATTTTAATATAATCAAGTGTATCTTTACATGACTTTGTTCTCAATGAAAAAATAGTCCATATCTGCCCTTTCTCCCTCCTCCCTCCTACCACCCAAGCTTGCTTACTACAGTCCCAGTATGTATTTCTTGCTATAAATTTAGAAACCCAAGTGAGCTCGCAGCGTGATTTCACTTCCCATCGTTGAGGTAAACGTGAAAATGTAAACATCTGCAGTTTACAGGGATTAAGGTGACATCTGGTGCCCCTCTTGCAGACAATATCCGATCTTGAGGCAAGTAACCACAGTAACACTGAAACCACACACTTCAGCCAGAACTATCCCTACCCCCATATTTTAGCTGGAGAAATATTTCACAAAACTTAAGTGTTAATCATGCAAAAATGTCCTTATTAGGATAACTTTGTATTTAATATTCTATAATGATTGTCTCAAAAAGAAAAAGCAGTTTGTTGTTGACGTTTTCTGGATCGGGCCACCTAAATTCACTTCCTTCCCTTGTGAAGAACCCAGAGGGGCTGTCTGGGTGGAGGTCACAGTGTAGGGCGCTGATGAGGAGGGGTGGGCTGGTACGACTCCCTCGGCTTCAGTGGCTGGAGGCTCTGTTCCTCAGGAGGGTGTGCCTCGGAGGGTCGAGGGTATGTCACTGCGTGGCTCGTGTGGTTCTCTGTCATCTGCCCAAAAATCCATCTGCCGGGTCCCTAAATGACTGTGACAAGCCAGGTCCTGGCTTCCGGTCACAGCCCATCGCTGGCCCTCCTGGTGACGTCGGCTGGGTGCCCCCACCGCCCCTCACCCGCTGGGCCAGGCAGACCCTGAGGGCGATGCTTTCTGTCCCACAGCACCCACAGGGCACCGGCTTTCCGTGGTTTGCAGACCGACATGGATAGAGCCGGTATTTGTTGAGTGAATAACACAAACCAATTCAAGTCAACTGTAGTCCAAACTGCGAGACGAGTGGGAAGACAACAAGACTGATATGAGTTACTTTTCCCGGTGCTGCGGAGCCCAGAGCAGTTGGCCAGGGAGGAGACGTGGAGCAGGCCTGGCCTGGCCTTCAAAGGGGCCTGAGCTGCGTGTTCCCTTGGAGTGAGAGGGCAGTGGGGGCTGGCAGGGGGCCAGGGGCCAACCCTGGCTAGACCTGGGGGTGCCTAACCACTAGGGACCTAGACCCGCGTGCGTGTGTGTTTTATTTTGTTTGTGGATGTGGCTGAAGACCTGTGTCCACACACAATACATTGAAGACCCCCAAACACGGCGTCCCAGGGTGGGACCACTATTTCCGTTGGGCACAGCAAAGCCGCTGAGGTTTGGTCATTTGAAATGCTTTTCCTTAAAGTCACGGTCGTTTCTCAACTCCACAGATCTGTGAGAATGCATAGACAGTTGCTGTCCTTGTGGGAGGGAATGTTCCAGAGGCCTTTCCTCGTCCACTTCCGGCGATCACTGCTGACAGACAAGTGCCCAGAAAAATTAAGATCCAAGCAGCCGAGGGTCAGGATATCTGGTTCCACTGTTTTGGGTTTTGGTTTTGTTTTTTTGGTTTTTTTACCACCACAAGCTGTTTAACGTTTTGCACACATCAGAGCAGCCCCGTGCCTTAAGCACATCACACCCACTGGACTCAGAAAAGTAGGCCAATTCTAAGAAGAACGGCATCCGCATGGACACATTATCTACACCAGCTTTTGGTCAGTTGATCGGACCTGGCCTACCGTGTGTCCTTCTCTTCCCCAGTCGGTTGGTAATAGCTGACGAGGCCACGTCATCAGCTGAGTGTTCTCGATGCCTGGGCTCTGTGCCCGGAATGCACACACCATGGACCCCCGGGAACCAACCAGCAAAACATGTAAAAAGCCTTTCCTGCATTTTGTGCGTCTGGCTGGCCTGTGTTGACTGGGTCTGGTAGGACCCAGCTTCTTCACTCACCCACGCGGGTGAAGCGTGGGCTGTGCCCTCTGCGTCCTGGGCCCCGCCAAGGGCTGTAGGCGGCAGTCCCTGATCCTGTGTTTTCCATTTCAGGCCTACATGGAGGACCACTTGAAGAACAAGAACCGGCTGGAGAAGGAGTGGGAGGCACTGTGCGTCTACCAGGCCGAGCCCAACAGCTCGCTTGTGGCCCAGAGGGAGGAGAACGTGCCAAAGAACCGGTCTCCGGCCGTGCTGACCTGTATGTACCCAGCCGTGGCGCTCCTGGGCCAGGGGAGGGGGAGGTCGGGGCCGGGTGGGGCCGGCGGCACCTTCCCATTCGCGCCTGTGTTTCTGCTCGTGGCTGGGAAGCCATCCTGGCCTAGAAACAGAGTCAGTGTCTTCCTTTGTGGTCCAGTGGCACGGTCCTGGGTTGAGGACATCCACACACCAACGAGCACTTGCTTTGTTTGCTATTACTGTGCAGTTTGAGACTCATTTCTTAGCCTCGTTGAGCCTCTTCTTCGTCTGTAATTGGGATCCTCCTGTCGTCCTTGAAATCTTCGGGCCCTGAGGATAGTTAGCGCGGTGCCTTCCACACTGTGGGCACCAGGTGGGTGGTGGTGGGTCCTCAGACATCTTCGGGCCTCACGCTTACTGCAACAAGTATTGTCGAGGACCTGCTCTCTGCACAGGAATCACCACCAGAAAACAGATACAAAAAGATACCAGTTCTTTAAAGCAGCTCGCATCGAGTAGGAGACAGTCGTATTTTATGCGTTGTATATGATACGACTTACGGACGGACAGGCCCGCACAGAGGCCATAAGCAGACAGACTGGCTTAGTCTGCCCCTTCCTGGCCACTGGGCCCCTTTCTCGGTCACTTGGCCGATAAACGCAAGAACCTCCTGTGTTCTAGCAGGTTCCAGTCTGGGCTTGCACCCTGATGAATGTACGAACCCACCCTGCAGAGAGGACCGGGATGTGAGGGGCGTTTGTGACCCAAGTGCCTGGCGTGAACAGACACTCTCCCAGTGCCAACCGTGTGAGCTGCTAACACGTGCGCAGTTACCCCGTCCCCGTCCTAGTGACTGCAGGCGAGACGTGGTCGGGCACACTTCAAACGTAATACAATGCTCTTTGTCGGCTGACATTTTCGAGGACACAGCGAAGCCACACTCTGCAAAATCGGCGCCCCCGGTGGGGACGGACCCCCCACACACACCGTGTCCCACACGCTGTGTCTCAGCCCTTTGGAGCCAGCTCTGCAGTCAGCCTGGTGCCCCCCAGAGCATGGTGCAGACCCTCTCCCGATGGTCCCGCCTCACCTGGCCCGGCACAGGCCGCCGGAGATGTTCTGATGGTAAATGGCAGCAATCTGATCGAGTTTGCAGCTCAGAAGATTAAAAGCTGACCCCTTATGTTGCCTTCAACACTGACCTGGGCATCACAGACCCTTGAAATCTGAAGGCACTTCTGGGCATGATTTTTTCTAACAGTTCAGTGGGGGTTCAGACCAGGCCCTCCATTTCCATGAGGTGCGAGGGGTTTTTCCCTGAAGAGCTTTAAAAATAGGAGCTTTTAGGGGCACCTGGGTGGCTCAGTTGGTTAAGTGTCTGCCTTCAGCTCAGGTCATGATCCCAGGGTCCTGGGATCGAATCCCGAGTTGGGCTCCTGCTCAGCCGGGAGTCTGCTTCTCCCTCTCTCTCTCTCTACCTATGCCCCTCCCCACCTCTCGTTCTCTGTCTCAAATAAATAAATAAAATCTTTAAAAAGTTTTAAAAATAAAAATAAGAGCTTCTATATTTAGAAGGAAAGTAACAAAGAACCCACAATTGACTAACATATTTATTAAGCACCTACTGTGTGTGGGAGCCACTGACAGGCTGGGAGGTGTGATGATCTACCCGGGCCGCTGTGGGGAGGTGGGGAGGTTTCGGCCTGAGCCTTGGATACGTAGCTGTTTGGGGCAAATAGTCCACAAGCTTAGATGGAACATCTCCCTGGGTTTGGTCGCTTACTTGGACTACTGGGTCCCGTATGGTAAATACTAAAACTTACAGCCTCTTCCTCCAACACCCCTCCCACAGTGAAAGCCCAGACTGTGGCAGGTGGCCCATGGAGTCCCTGTGCCCACAGAACCTTCGTGACGGTGGGGCACCCGGTCCCAAGGCCGTGGGAGCCCCAACACCTGCCCTTTGACCAGAGCCTCTTCCTTCTTCCCATGGCGCTGGGGATAGGTGGCCAGTCTCCAGCAGCCTGGCCGGGCTCCTCCCTGTCCCGGGTCATGGAGGGGCAGCTGTGCGGGCCACGGAGGCCAGGGTTGGCCCAGAAGCATTTTCGTGGATGACCCGTAGCAATCGCCCTGTCTCCCCAATACTGGCCGCCTTCGCTTGTCAGGGGAGTCTTACCATCGGATCTCAGCCTGCACCCCTTCCCGAGCAGGATGCGGGGGGTGGCGTGGAGAGAAACTGATGTCTCGGTCGGTCTTGCCAGACTGCACGGAAGATAACTACCTCCTCTTTCGGAAACCCTGCTTCCTGTGGCCAGGTACTCACGCTCTTCGTGGCACAGAATCGGCCCCACGGTGGGACGGCAAGGTGTTGAGGGTGGGCTTCCCACGCCTCTGGCCCCTGCAGGCCAGTGTGGGCCCCGTGAGCATGTGGCCGGGGCCGTCAGCGCAGGACGCACTCCTCCCGGCGTCCACGCTGGCGGGTGGGAGCGGAGCTGGCTTTCCCAGCACCCTCCCCATCCCTTCCACCAAGCTCCCAGGTTGCCGATTTGACGGGTTCTTGGATACCCGGGTGGGACCCCCGCGGTTGGGCCTCCCGTCCTCCTGCCTCCACACCTGTCCCTTCAAGGAAGCCCTTCTTCAGTGGTTTCTCCACCCCAGGGGTGGAAGTGACTGCCTGACTTCCCCATCGAGGGCCAGTCGGCATCTTCGGGGTCCACCAGTTGGACTTCTGCAGCTTCCCAGGCCCAGGGCATGACCTGCACACCCCCCGCGCCTTCCACCCTCCTTCGCGTCTTCCTGCGTCCGGGGCCCGTCTGAGACATCTCTCGGCCTCCTGGAGCTTAGGCTGGCAGGTCGTGCGGGAGATTGAGAAGTGGCCGGGACATCAGCCTCTCCCCGACAGCCTGGCGGTCCCAGCTACTTCCAATGTATCCATCAAAGGAGAATTTATGAGGAGATTAACTGACGCTGGGCCGGGTGTAGCTATGTTGTTTCAGAAGTTTAAAGAATCTAATATGCTTTCTAAATGTATTTGTACTTTTAAAAAGAATTATGCAATATTCTGCTCATCTGCTCTTTAAATTAAGAACAGGAGAATGATGCTATTTTGGTGCACCGTTTTAAACAAAACAAAACAAAAAAAAATGTTTTTTATTCTGTGTTACAAAAACAAGACCCGAGAATTAGATGGAGACAAAAAACTACTTAGAGGTGAAACCAGAAAGCGAACAGCTCAGGATGCAGACAAGGAGAGACAGAGGGAAAGCACGTAGCAGCGTGCTCACAGTTTGGCTTTGTTGCTAAAGAGACCCCAGCCAGCCCGGCAGCCCTGGGGAGGACGGCTGACCCCGTCTGGCCGTCCGCAGAGGTCAGGGCACTGGGGCGGCACCAGGTTCGGCCATGTGTGAACCCCAGCCCCGGGTGCCCGCACAAGGCCTGTCACCTCGAGTCCCTGCAGGAGTCACCCCTGCACTTGACAGACGACGGCGCTGGGGCATAAACCCTTACCCTCTGCTGGGGGGCACGCTGCCCCTACATATGCTTGTGCACTTGCCTGGGATTTTCCATGTTGGAAAAATGCACCAAAATGTCAAACTTCCACAGAAAGGAATATCCCAAATTCACACAATATAGCAATCCTTGGGCTGAGCATTGCTTTCCTTAAAACACACAGGAAATAATTTCTTTCCAAACAAACCTTTGGTTTACATTTGTTTTTCTAAACTCTAAGCAGACTCCCCACAGAGGGATGTTCTGAGTTAGTGTGAGTGACCCAGACCTGCCCTGGTTTACCTGTCGCGATCAGTCATGGGTACGCCTCCCAAATCTGATAAGCAAGCAGGATTCCTTCCCTCTTGTGTGCGAGGCTCCGCACACAGGTGTCCCCTCGACCAGGAAGTTACAGGGCCACACAAGTTCCTGTCTCAGACCCAGCGGAATCTCTCCCTTCAGAGTGGGGCAGGCTTTGGTTGGTTGACGTGGCAGAGACAACGTGCCCGCAATGGCACGTCCCCCACCAGCAGCTTGTCCGCGCCTCCAGGACCCGGGCTGGGAGCTGCAGTGACCGTCGGCACAACTTAACCTGTCACAGCTCAGATTTTATATTCCGTACACTGCTTCCCTCGGAGCCAGACCACAGGCTCGTAAGCCCCCATGCGGCGGCTGCCTCCAGTCTGCAGCAGCACTCCCTGCCCGGTGCAGCGAACAGACGGACCTCGCCAGCAGTGGGGGGCTCGTCCCTGACCTGTCCACACCCACCGCGCTGTCCGCACGTCACAAGCCACGAGGTCGGCTTGTGTTTTCTGTGGCCCCGGATGCCCGCGTCCCTGCCTGTCCTTCCTGAGGTGAGAGGCGCTTTGCCCTCATCTCTGTCAGTGGATCCTTGCTCACCATCAGCAAAAGTTTGATTCCTGGTTCCACACACTGCCTCCCCTCTGTCGGCTTTCTGGATCTGCACTTCGACAAACATGATTTACGTGTCTTCACCTGTAAAAACACATCCAACAGGGTCAGCACGGGGCACTGCCCTGCCCAGGCTCCCTCACGCGGACACAGGTCTGTGAAGGGGCATTCGGTGGCCGGTGGTGAGCCAAGCCTTCGCCTCCAGCCCTGCTGTGCGGCCCCGGGATCGTCGAGATGCTCACGGAGGGCTTGCATCAGACATGGGGGCAGATGCTGCAGACGTGAACCCCGAGAGGCGCGGGTCCTGTGTTCCCCGTTCCTGGTAGAAGAGCCAGAGCCAAAGGAGGGGAAGCAGGGGGCCCCAGGCTTCCCTCCTGGCCCCACAGAGGACGGCCCAGCAGTGCAATCCGACCAGGAAGGACTCCCGCGTGGGCCAGCCCAGGAGCCCTCGCAAAGAAGGAGTGTCACCAGCGTGGCAGGGTTTTCCTCCACACATTTTATTGCAAAAGTTTTAAAGCGCTCAGGTAGAAATGATAACTGGATGGTGACCCACACACCCACCACCCAGATCCCACAGCTGCCAGTCAGTATGGGGCCAATTTTGCTTGACACGTGTGTGTGCTT